GTTCCAGTACTTGAACAGACGTAGAAAAATTTGGATAAAAAAGTCGAAAAAAATGAATATCTTGAATTATGAGACATAAAAAATGCACCTGTTCACGTGCCGTTCGATAAAACATTGCAGAAAACGAGATTTATGTGATCTACAGGAGGAATTCTCTCTGCTTTTTTGTAGAAACAGTAAAATTGAAAAGGAGGAATTCCGGGTAAAAGTGCTGCATAGCCATACAACCGTTGAGGCAAAGGTCCTATTTTTCCAGACAAACCCTTAATTTTTTTTTAGAAACTAGTTCCAAGAAAATTTGGTGATGTTACTGAAGTATCGGGCTTAGCTATAGATTTTCAGTTAGTAAGCCTCTGATCCTGAGTTGCATACCTTCAGTTAGTACCCTACGCCTTTTCGATGCACGTGCGTCACCTTTTTCGGAGGAGTACAAATAATTAGAAGTTGCCTTTCCGCCACTGTTTCCAAATGGAGTAGCTAAGCCCAGATGAAATTCAGACAGGTTTCCACGCTTATTGTTAAATATGATATTTAGATCGATCCGTATAATCTCTAATCCTAGTATTACAAAATTTTCAAATAAAATGAAGATCAAGATTTAACAGTTAGGATTAGTGGGGATCCAAGATTTTATGAACTGAAATCACGGGCAGTGACTTTATCTGGTCTATCAGAGTCACTGCACTTCCTGTGGTGACCTTCTGCAGCACTTTTCATTAGCTCAATATCGTTGTTTGCAGCAATAATGGCAATACGATGTCTTCTGTTGGCTTGCGTCTTATATCCCTGCATCTGGCAAGCAGCAGCTGATAGTATTTTTGATCGACAATCGGCCATTTCGGTCAGCGAACCGAGCTACAATATGCTCGGTGTGTTCACTACAAATTATTTGCACCATTACTGTTGCATAATGTATAACAATACACAGGCAAAAAAGAATTCGCCTCATTTTCGCGTACAGCTTCGTTAAATTCATAAGAATTTCATAGAAAATATGGTAGTTCAGCATAAGAAGCGCGAATTTCACGGATTAGGAAAGGGTTGGAATCGAGATAAATTTACTCAAAACTGAGATATCAAAATTAGCTAAAATATGCCAAAGCGATCCTGGAAGTCCAACTAAATAGTTCGAAGAAATACTGCAAAAAAAAATTTTTTCCCCGAAGCGTAACACAATTGCTCAAAATTCAGTAAACCAAATTTGAAGTGGCGAAACGAACTTCATATCAGAATGGTTAGCAACAAACTGACCACAATGCGATAGAACGCTAAGAAATTTGGGGAAGCTGTAAGTTTGGAAAAGAATTTGGGAAATCTGCGAGCTGCATAGTTGAAGAACGAGAGAAACTATGAATTAAATAAAATCAAGCATGTTAAAAATTTAAATGTCAAGCAGTGTCAAGTCTGGCGAGTATCTTTTTTTGGATATTGATTGGCCACTATCGAAATGGACACAAAAATGACTTAGAACCAAGGATCACTTCTTGTTCACTGGAGTTTCCCTCTATTTTCGTACTTGACTACATGCAAAAGACCATAACTTTATTAGAGCTAAAGACAAAAGATGCAATCCGACTTTGTTCTGATTGATTTGGGTTAGGATGCATCTAGCTTTAGGAAAGTTTAGAAATCCGGGTCAGAAATGCATACGAAAGGATAAGAATTAATTAGGAGAATCGAGTGGGGAAAGTCAAGATTAACGGAGATAAAGAAGATAGAGCCGAGTGAAAAGACACGCTTATGCTATAGCCGATTCATAAATTCATTATGCATCTATCTGCATAATAATCAGTAAAATTGCCGGATATGTTAAAATTTCTGCAGGACATCAGATACGTGTGCGGGAAAAACGAATGCCATCTTATGAACGGACGATGAATCACTATCCGAATTTGTTGATCAGTTCCGAACCGCTCAACGAACATATGAAAGAAGTGATTACGGAAGAACATAACAGGCTCAGAAGAATCGTATGTTAATGGAATTTAATTTGATGAAATTTAATTAATGAAGATTTAATTTTTCAAGGAAATCCTGACGTTTTAGTCCTGTGACTCAAAGCCATCGATGATATTGAGACGAAGCGGTAACGCTAAGTATAACGATGTCAGACCTTTTTCTTATATTTCTGACTCTATCAGTTGGTCATTAGTGAGTATGGTAACAGTAGCTGCTCACTGCCGAGAGACGAATTCAGAAATCATACCTAGCAGATAATGAGTGAAATATCTTAGTGCGATGTCTTTCTTCACTGTTTGCGTAATACGGAGAAGACTGTCAAAAACATCGCAGTCTGGAAGAATGGTGAAACGATTTTGCTCGGTATAGAAAGGACAGTGTAATGTTTTGGCAGATTGGACAAAAAATGACCCCCTTCATCCGGTAGTGAGAAAAAAAAAATATAATGAATTTCAGGTGCCGGCGACCGATATGCGCTTGATGTATTGGTCAGACGAACTGGCAGCAAGTGCGCAACGACATGCGAACAGATGCGATTTTCGGTACTCTTTCATGCTTTTAATGCTTGTTTCTAGATTTTTATGCGCAGGTGTGTGTGTGGATATGTGTTTGGATGTGTTTGGGTGTATGTGGATGCGGGTGCGAGCGTTTGTTTGTTTTTCACTGATTCAACTTCAGAATTACAATTATAAAACTATAAAACTCAGTTTTTGAGACTGTATTCTTGGCTCATTCAGGAAGCCGTCAGGTAAAGACCAACTTTCTGGCCTCTTTGCGTTTGACATGTAACCTCAAGCTGAAGTACATCCTAATGTTATCATGGAAGAAGTGATGGGATGAAAATTTTGCTCATTTAATTTATTAAGTAATAGAGGAATTCCTACGGCCGGTTTCTGGACACTTCACTGTTCTTGGACTGATCGGATTTTCTGCTGGAAATAAAAGTAGCAAATGAATCAAGTTGAATTTCAGACACAGCCACGATCGGCTGAATGTTGGCGAAAATATTTGGGCAGCGCCCTACTCGAACTACACTGAAGCGGTAACTCGATGGTTCAACGAAGTGTACGATTCGAGATGCGACTGCAAACATGCTTACAAACACTGCTGTGGTCATTATGTCCAGGTAATCTTTCTGAAAGCTA